CCTACACATTAACTGGAATTATAAAACTGAAGCTACAGATAGATAACCTACACATTAACTGGAATTATAAAACTGAAGCTACAGATAGATAACCTACACATTAACTGGAATTATAAAAGTAAAGCTACAGATAGATGACCTACACATTAACTGAGATTATAAAACTAAAGCTACAGATAGATAACTTACACATTAACTGAGATTATGAAACCAAAGCTACAGGTACATGACTTACACATTAACTTGAATTATAAAACTAAAGCTACAGGTAGATGACCTACACATTAACTGAGATTATAAAACTAAAGCTACAGATAGATAACCTACACATTAACTGATATTATAAAACTAAAGCTACAGGTAGATAACCTACACATTAACTGGGATTATGAATATGCTGTTTAATCCTTTGTCTGTTTTGTTTTTTAAATTTTAAGAATATTTTTTCTTCTATAAGAGTGTTTAGGTTATCATATGTTGTACACAGAGTAATAATGTGGTCTAGTGCCGGGTGTAGCTTAGTTGTTATCTAAGAACGTGTTCTAAACGATATAGTTAATCGTATTATTCGGTTGAAAGTAGCCAGGTGTTCACGAGTGATGAGGACTGGTTGTCCTTTTTTTTCTGTCCAGATGTTCTTAATTCGAAAGGGTCCTGGCTAAACCTTGCGACCCTTGACCTGGCTGTTTAGCTCAATTTTTGCATAAGGCGCCATTTTTAAAAGAACGAAATGTTGTATCAGTCATGTAAATATACACACTTGTATTGAGTTCTTATACGTTATCCGTAATGTGTCTAAACAAACTAACCGTCATCATCTTACAATTCTATCACACGTGACATTTAGCCTCGTGACTTCGAGAAGTTCGACTTGAGAAAAGCTCACGTTAAAAGCTCGTTTTACCGGAATCACCTAAAGTCAACCTTCGACGCTCTCGAAGCTTGCTTTGTGGCCCACGTCACAACTCACCTAAAGTCAACCTTCGACGCTCTCGAATCTTGCTTTATGGTCCCCGTCACAACTCACCTAAAGTCAACCTTCGACGCTCTCGAATCTTGCTTTGTGGCCCACGTCACAACTCACCTAAAGTCAACCTTCGACGCTCTCGAATCTTGCTTTGTGGCCCCCGTCACAACTCACCTAAAGTCAACCTTCGACGCTCTCGAATCTTGCTTTGTGGCCCACGTCACAACTCACCTAAAGTCAACCTTCGACGCTCTCGAAGCTTGCTTTGTGGCCCCCGTCACAACCTCGTTCACGGCATCCTCTCGACTACCTTTCAAACTCTGTATTCTTCCTACATAGACCCCTTGTTAACCCTACTCTTAACAGTCAATTGACTTAAAATCCCTATTCCACTCCCATCACAAAGACTTCTAGAGCGGATGAAGAAGGTTTGGTGTGTTTGGAAGTTCGCGCAAAGCTACACGAGGGCTATGTGCGCTAGACGTCCCTAATAGGACAAAGAAGGAACCTAGTCTTTAGACATCCGTGGAATAATCATACGCCACTAAATTCCCGACAATCGCTGTTGCGGACAAGTTTCTGGAACTACATCAGCAAAGTTCGGATTTCGTTGACGAAAAAGTCTCACGTTCAAGCCCCATATGAAGCTTCCAGCCGACCTGAACCTCGGATTTGTTTCTTTCAACAGAGAGAGATGAGTAAAAATCCTTTGATTTCACGGAAAATAACCGATTCGACTTTTTGATTTCATGCTCTTTACTCATCACTAGTAGCACTTTAAGTATTTAAATAATACGTGACTAACCTGTCACATATTCATAATTATTCGACGGTTTATAGCTGGAATTAATTTGTGATTTTCCCTCATTAAAATGTGTTACTTCAACGAAGAGAAGAAATAATCCATGAATAACGTAAATCATGGTTTCTTTACCGAGATTACACATTTTTAGTTAGGGAAAGAAAAACTCACACGTAATGTATAAAAATACTGACTGTTTCGGGAGAATCACGAATGTTTGTAGTTATGCACAAAGCTACACAATGGGCTATCTGTGCTCTGCCCACCACGGGTATCGAAACCCGGTTTCTAGCGTTGTAACTCCGCAGACATGCCGCTGTGCTACTGGGGGGCGGAGATTCACGAATGTTTGTAGTTATGCACAAAGCTACACAATGGGCTATCTGTGCTCTGCCCACCACGGGTATCGAAACCCGGTTTCTAGCGTTGTAAGTCCACAGACATACCGCTGTGCCACTGGAGGGGGGGGCGGAGATTCACGAAAAGCTATATGAGAGCTATTTGTGCTAACTGTCCCTCATTTCGAACTGATAGATCAAAAGGACTGCAGCTGGTCAACAGCACCCACTTGGGATACTCTTGTTTGCCCGAAATCAGGATTTGACCGTCAACCTTATAACTCACCCACAGCCACAAAGTGTGGAGAGCCATTAATTTTTTTTTTAGTGATTATGAGACGCCAACGATGTACCGTGAATCTATAGTCCGGCATGCTAACAACACTTGACCTTTAAAAATATGAAACGCTTCATAATCACGTATATCATACTTCTCCTGTTTACACTTTGCAATAAAATTCCCTGTAGAGAGTAGCCATGAAAATATCCCTTGACCTTAGCGGCCACTTTTTCTATACTACTTATTCACGAAGTTGCTCGTGGGTCGATAACTCTGTTGGTTACAGGGACTCTAATAACATGCGAGTGACATAAAAGTGTGTCAGTATCCCAACTAAACTCGCTGTTTACTGATTGGATTGCTTATATATTTGAAACTCTTTGATTTTATTCAATCTTTTTGGTCATTTTTTTAGAGTCATTGTCGTAAGAGACAAAAACATAAAATGACTTTATATGAAACGGACCTCACCAGTAATGAACTGAGTAAAAACAAGTCAGTAACTTGAAGGCTAAGAAAACGAAGATTCACCGACGCTGGAAGATAAACATCATAAAATTCAATGACGAGGAACCCACTTTGAGACTAATAAAGCTTGGAGACGTCTTGAATGGGTAATGAAGAAAAACTTTAATATAAGTTTAACATAACAGCAAATATACAACGTTTCGACAAGGTTTTGTCGTCATGTTTTGTCATCATCCTTAGTAAGTAGCTTGTTCTAACAATAGAGACAATATTGTCCGACAGTATAAATCAGTTAGTAGCATAAAATATAACTATATCCTTAGTAAGTAGCTTGTTCTAACAATAGAGACAATATTGTCCGACAGTATAAATCAGGTAATAACATAAAATATAACTATTAACCTTAGTAAGTAGCTTGTTATAACAATAGAGACAGTATTGTTCGACAGTATAAATCTGGTAATAACATAAAATATAACTATATGCTTAGTAATAGCTTGTTCTAACAATAGAGACAATATTGTTCAAAAGTATAAATCTGGTAATAACATAAAATATAACTATATCCTTAGTAAGTACCTTGTTATAACAATAGAGACAATATTTTCCGACAGTATAAATCAGGTAATAACATAAAATATAATTATATCCTTAGTAAGTAGCTTGTTCTAACAATAGAGACAATATTGTCCGACAGTATAAATCAGGTAGTAACATAAAATATAACCATATCCTTAGTAAGTAGCTTGTTATAACAATAGAGACAATATTGTCCGACAGTATAAATCACTTAGTAACATAAAATATAATTATATCCTTAGTAAGTAGCTTGTTCTAACAATAGAGACAATATTGTCCGACAGTATAAATCTGGTGATAACATAATATAACGTGCAAGTATAATTAGTACACGATAATAATAATATAACAGATAGTCAGTACTCAGAAGCTTAGCATTTAGTATTACTCTTAAGATACTGACAATAATATTTTTCACCATGTACTTGGTACTAATATGAAAAGACCTGGCATCTGGTACCATTCATAGTTAAAGACAACAACAATATTTTTCACCATGTACCTGGTACTAATATGAAAAGACCTGGCATCTGGTACCATTCATACTTAAAGACAACAACAATATTTTTCACCATGTACCTGGTACTAATATGAAAAGACCTGACATCTGGTACCATTCATACTTAAAGACAACAACAGTATTTTTCACCATGTACCTGGTACTTATATAAAAAGACCTGGCATTTGGTACCATTCATACTTAAAGACAACAACAGTATTTTTTACCATGTACCTGGTATAATAAGGATATACGTCTCAGCATCTTGGAGTATCCAAATTATCAATTCTAAAATTACATTTATCGTCAACACAAGGATTAATAACCATCTGTAGACATTCAGCGCCATCATGTTTCCACCACACTGTGTATCCTTCATTAATTATCGAATGTAAGTATGCTGTTTCTTAGATATGTGGTCAAGTATTAGCTTACAGTAAATAAGAAGTTTTAACATCAGAGTTTTCTACCAGTTTTTATACAATAGAAACGATGTGATGTCACGTGGGGTCTTTGTTTAGAAACGTGTTGTTGGAAACTACATTTCTATCACTGACTACAAACTTATTCTATCGTTATATGTTATCATTCCAGACGATGTGATGTCACGTGGGGTCTTTGTTTAGAAACGTGTTGTTGGAAACTACATTTCTATCACTGACTACAAACTTATTCTATCGTTATATGTTATCATTCCAGACTCTCTATCAGTTTCCACTTCGACTTCTGGAGGAACGAAGGACATTCCTGACCCCAGCACCAAGCCACCTTTCTCTTACGTCGCCATGATTGCTATGGCGATAAAAGAATCAGCAGAACAACGCCTGACCCTCAGCGAGATCTACAGTTACATCATGAACAAGTTTCCATATTTCCAGAAGAACAAGAAAGGCTGGCAGAACAGTATTCGCCACAACCTCAGTCTTAACGAGTGTTTTGTGAAAGTTCCGAGGGAAGGTGGCGGAGAGCGGAAGGGAAACTACTGGACTTTAGATCCCACCTACGAAGACATGTTCGAGAACGGCAACTACAGAAGACGTCGCCGCATGAAACGCCCCTACCGTCCCGCATCATCGCTCCAGAAGGCCTTCTTTCCCGACCAGCTTCAGCTTCCGAACGCTCTATCCATTAGTTCCAAGAGCTTATTCGGTCATGGTTATGGTGCCGGACCTCTGGCAAACAACACCTGGGCAGTCCAGCAAGATGGACAATGCCTTTACAGCCCCTGTCAGCGGATGACCGCACAGCAGCTTCACGCGACTTATCACCTCCCGCAACCCCAGCTGGAACAAGCTTTGCCCCCGATGCAACTGGGCCCCATCAACACGTACGGACCCCACAACTTTCAGGCCGGTTTCGTCCCGGGTCGGCGACAGGGACCGATGGAAGCAAGCATGCATTATCATTCGTACTGGGGAGAGAAGCAGTTCGGTTAAAACTTAGCAAGTAAGTACCACCTTTAAAATATGTACACACACGTAAATAATCTGGATTATTATCACTCGTACTGGGGAGAGAAGCAGTTCGGTTAAAACTTAGCAAGTAAGTACCACCTTTAAAATATGTACACACACGTAAATAACCTGGATTATTATCACTCGTACTGGGGAGAGAAGCAGTTCGGTTAAAACTTAGCAAGTAAGTACCACCTTTAAAATATGTACACACACGTAAATAACCTGGATTATTATCACTCGTACTGGGGATATAGCACATACAGTGCGGTGACATGATTATACACTCTTCTTTACTTTCACACACATATAATGTGGTTCACACACTATTATACACTCTTCTTCACTTTCACACACATATAATGTGGTTCACACACTATTATACACTCTTCTTCACTTTCACACACATATAATGTGGTTCACACACTATTATACACTCTTCTTCACTTTCACACACATATAATGTGGTTCACATACTATTATACACTCTTTCTTACTTTCACTCACATATAATGTGGTTCACACACTATTATACACTCTTCTTTACTTTCACACACATATAATGTGGTTCACACACTATTATACACTCTTCTTTACTTTCACTCACATATAATGTGGTTCACACACTATTATACACTCTTCTTTACTTTCACACACATACAATGTGGTTCACACACTATTATACACTCTTCTTTACTTTCACACACATATAATGTGGTTCACACACTATTATACACTCTTCTTTACTTTCACACACATATAATGTGGTTCACACACTATTATACGCTCTTCTTTACTTTCACTCACAATGTGGTTCACACACTATTATACACTCTTCTTTACTTTCACACATATATAATGTGGTTCACACACTATTATACACTCTTCTTTACTTAATAATTCCCTTTCAACGATATTATGATATACATCCCTTCCCACCCAACTCCACCCTGATAGTATGGGCGCAAGTGTTGAATTTGAAGACAACATATTAATGGTGTAGATCAGACGATCAAACTTTAAATATACCAACCAAAAATAATTTAACATAACATTTATATTTCCGAAAACTAGCAGAGCATTTGTAATATGGTAACAGTATAAACCTAACGTTTAATTAATGGTAACAGTAGAAACCTAACGTTTGATTAATGGTGACAGTAGAAACCTAACGTTTAATTAATGGTAACAGTAGAAACCTAACGTTTAATTAATGGTAACAGTAGAAACCTAACGTTTAAT